AGTGCTGAAATTCAGATTAGAAAAGAAAAATGAACACATTGAGCAAGGACCCATGATAGAACAACTTGGCAAAATGTTCTTTACTACCAAGCATCATTGGTATCCTCACAGGCAGTATCACAGATGTCGTCGGAAACTGGTTCCTCCAAAAGACAGATGACATTGAGGTTCTCAGAGCAATCAGAAATGTGCCTCATTTGTCATTTAAGAAAATCCCATGTGGTGTATTCACTAATAGGTTATGTAATAAAACAATAATAGTAAAACTTCTTTCCATATATTAAAACAAATAAAAATGTAAGTAATCTATAAAAAAAAGTTGCTATAAGTGGTAAATATGCTGAGCAAGGATGCAGGCTATAAGGTCAATATACAAAAACTATACAACACTGCTGAGAGAAATCAAAGATATAAATAAATGGAGAGATATACTCAATGGTCATGGATCTGAAGAAACCATTAAAACATAAATTCTCCCAGGACCAGCAGTTAGCGTAACGGCTATGTCGCTGGACTCCCACGTAGTTGACCGTGGTTCAAGTCCCAGACCCGGTGGCTTAAACTCACGCTGGGCGCGTGTGCGTGCATGCCCAAGATCCCAAGAGGAGAGTGGAGGAGAAGGGACTGCAGCGTGGCCATCCCCCCTGGGGGGGTGATTTCTCGCTTTCTGTCTCTCTGTCTGTCTGGTGAGCACAAACGCCTTACAGCAAAAAACTCTAAAAAATAAATAAATAAATAAATTCTCCCCAAAATGATTTATGAAGCCTGTGCAATTCCAATCAATACCCCAGCAGTGTTTTTTTTTTTCTAGAACATGACATGATGGTTCAAAACTTTTATGAAAATGCAAATATTATAAGGTAACCAAAACAATTTTAAACAACAAAGCTGGAGATCTTATACTATGTAATTTCTCAAGACTTATCATAAAGGTAGAATAATCGAAACAGTGAAATATTGGTATAAAAGACTGAACGGTTCCATAAATAAACCCACATATGATCAGTTTATTTATTTATTTATTTTTTGGAGAGGTTTTTGCTATAGGGCGTGTGCGCTCGCCAGAAAGACAGAGAGAGACAGAGAAAAAGAAAGCAAGAAATCTCCCCCCCCCCCCGGGGGGGATGGCCATGCAGCAATTCCTTTTCCACCATTCTCCTCTCAGGACCTTGGGCACGCACACACACACGCCTGGCTTGAGTTTAAGCCACTGGGTCTAGGACTCAAATTGTAGGAGTTCAGTGACATAGCCATTACACAAACTGCTGGTCTCTGATCATCTTTTTTTTTTT